GGCCGGAGCTAAAGGAGAACAGGGGATGTAGAGTTTACTTCGTTGCTGTGCTCAGCCTGTGGTTTTTCAGTAGGTTTTATGTTTGCTCTGGAGTACCAGAATCTAACATCCAGAAAAGCCGGTGCGCTTCATTGTGTGAGCCTGTGCTGAATGTCCCAAGGATTTTACCCTAAGTAGGACTGAATTTAAAAGGTATTTTTCTTCCCTTTGAAACACAAGCCAGGAAGCAGAGCAGCAGATGAAATTCTAAAAAATATATGTATCTCACCTCTGTTCCTGCAGAGTTACTGCAGTTAGTAGTTAGGTTACTTTTGTGGTATAAAACCAAAATGAATTTAGGAGCAAGTTCTGCCTGTTCTGCTTATGAGATGGTTGTGCTATATGAGGTGCTTTTCTGATGGTCTGTGAGTGGTGTTGGAAAATGAAACCTTACACCAGTGACTGTGTTTGTACACTTGAGCTATGAGTTAAACTTCTTGTAGTTCCCTGAGTATTGTGGGTACTGGAATTGCACTCCACATTACCTCTAATTTAAAACGACTTGGTTCAGCAACTCCTGTAAGTATCACTACAGTTATTAAGTATTTTCATGCCAAACCAATGATTTTTTTAATCCATTTAGATACGGATCCAAAGTCCACTGAGGAAAAAAAACAACAGAGATTGAACTTTGAATTTCAGATGTTTAGTCAGCATGCTGGATTTTCCATCTCTGAGACATTGTTTTGATCTATCCTGCCTTAGAGGATGAGTTTGATTTCTGCTGAGCTCTGTGGGAATCCAGACATCTGCAAGATGAAACTGCAATTTCCCCTTTAGAAACTCTGGCATTGTAACAGTGTTGAAAAGTCTGGAATCATTGCTTAAATGATATTGCCATCCCTCATGATGGAGGATCCAGTTACAGCATTATGACTATACCCTTCTTTGTTCCAGGGACAAAAAAAAGTTAATATTTTAAAGATAGGAATCTTAAATGTGAACCATTCTTATTAAAAGTGAGAGGACAAGTGGGCTTATGATGTAATTTTAATATGAAAGCGATTTCTCAATTCAGGAATCACAGTTACAGATGTGGAGGTTTGTTTGTTTTTAAATGTTGGTAAAATCGTCTAGCCCATTTTATCCTGCTTTTTAGTGAGCTCTGCAGGACCCATATACTTAGGCATGTGTAGGCACTCAGAGAGGCAGTCCAGGATCCTTGTGCAAGTTAAAGAGTGTCTTCATGAGAGAGAAACACATTAATCTATGACTATGTTCTGATTACATGCTCTTGCTAGAAAGCTTTTCGGGTAGGAGTGATGATTAAATACGTATTTTCTTGCCATATAGGCTGGTTGCTGCTAACTAAAGGTTACTGCTGACCATATCATTATAATAAATTTATCCCAGCTTGTTTTCTCTCAAGTAGAATATTGAACTTCAATTAAAAAAAATCAGAACTGAACGAGTAAGAACCCAAAAGCATGTTTCAGTCCCTTTCTGACTTCTTAATGCTTTAATTTGGGAGGTTTCCAGGATTTAGCATGTCTAGGAAGGACATGCTAAAAGGAAAAGGAAGAAAATTTCCTTTTCTCAAGTGTGTTGAAATGCCAGAGACCTTTTCTTTAGCACATACAAGTAGCGTCAGAGAATTAACACACTCTTGCAACAAGTGTGTCCTCTTTGTACTGAGATGGTTGTAGCGAGCTGGATCAGGACACATAAGACAAGACATCTGGTGGCCAGGGGAAAAAAAAAATAGCTTGTTTAGGGTCTTTAAAGCTCCATTTAAGATCTCCTAGCTTGGCATACAGGTATTTTACATGACCTTGGCTGCAAAAGCACGGCTGTTTACAATTGTGGTTCTGATTATCTGTGTAGTTTGGTGGGACAGACTGTGCACATGTCTGTGCATGTTTATCTGCACATCATCCTGCACACACAGCCGCACCCGCAGCTCTCAGTTGGGCCTTCTGTCTCGTCATGTCTGCAGGAGCAGCTCTCCTGCCAAGGTTCACAGTGCTGAGCTTGAGAGAGAGCTAGTAAGTCCAGTTGATTTTAACAATGGGTTATCTTTGTTGGGCTTTGCTCAATGCAGTTTATTTCAGAGTTTATGTAAGTTTTGTAGAATTTACTTCAAGGGCTCAGTGCTCTTGCCTCATTACTCATGAGCTTGCACTTTGCTAATTAAGAAGTGACTTTGTGGGAAAATAGCTGACTTGGTGTATGATTGGTTTGAGGGCAGGAGGTGAAGACCATGGAAAAATACATTTAGAACTGTTAACTATTTTTGGTTGGGGTTTTTTTTGTTTGTTTGTTTGTTCTTTTTGGGGTTTTTGTTGTTTGATTTTTTTTGTTTGTTTTTTATTTTAAAGAGTGAAACCTTTAACTTCATATATTTTTACAGGAATGTAAGGACTTGGACCTGTTGTTAGTTTGAAATAGCTGGAGAAGGACATAGCACTGCTTCTCTTAAATCTCTGCTGTGCAAATGGAAAAATAATGACTATTAATAGCTAATGTCTTATATGACTATTAATAGCAAATGTCTTAAGCATTTTGTTGTTTACTCTTCACCAGATAGTGTTTTTTGTGTCCTGTTTGATAACTTTTTTGTGTCCTGTTTGATAACTTTTCCTCTGTAACTCTTCTCTTTAATATAGGGGATGGTCCCTTTCCAGGAGTGATTGACATGTATGGTGATGAAGGAGGCTTGATTGAATTTAGATCTAGTCTCCTGGCTACCCATGGTTTTGCTACTCTTTCTCTGCCATATTTTGACTTTGAAGATCTTCCTATGATCTTGAAAGACTTAAAACTTGAGTACTTTGAGGAGGCAGCAAGGTTCCTACAGCGTCACCCAAAGGTGAGTGCAGTGGGAAATCTCTTGGGACTAGGGAGGATTTAGCAGTTATGCCTAAGTGGTGGTGGTGCTTTTTTTTATATTTGAGTATCAGTTTCTGCTGGGCAAGCTTAGGCCCAATTGTGGCTTATGCATATGACTGGGGAGAGTGAATGTCTTCCAGCACAAAGTATCTGTTAAATTCATGCTGGAGCTAGAAGACTGCTGACCAGTAGGATAGTGAATGCTGGAGTATCCTCCAAACAAGACCAGTGGTGATAAAATGTTGGGCTTGTTTGGGTTTTTTTCTTACATGAAAGCAATTCGTTTTAAGAGAGGATAATATGATACTGCTCATAGTAGCTGAAAGAATGAATTTGATGATGTGGAATGTTGCTTTCAGTTTTACCAGGCTAGAAAAAGACAAGACAAATACTACATATCTAATCCTTCAAATGTAGTTTGTGAGGTTACTTTATTTTCCTGAGACTTGAATTTCCTGTTACCTGTTTTAGGAAAATGAGAAAAAGCTTGCATTAACATATGCAGTAGGGACCAGGTAAGGAGTGAGTGTTGGTAGGCCTTGTGCCTGTTGGCATTTTTTGTGGGGTTTGATCTCTCTTGGTGTCTCTGAAAAATAAGACCGTAAACAGAAGGAGGAGCATGGGTCCAGACTGTCACTTTGCAACAGGTTACATCAATAATTAACCTAACCTTTTTTTTAATAAAACAACACCAAAGTCAATTAATGGCTAATCCCATTATAATGTATGCTTCCTTTATTCCTTTCTTCCTCTCTTCTCCACCCCCTATCTTATCTGAAGGTGAAAGGACCAGGAGTTGGAGTGATTGGGACTGGGAAAGGGGCGGACTTAGCGCTCTCCATGATCACCTTCCTGCCAGAAGTAGTGGCTGCTGTCTCAATCTCTGGCTGTAGTTCCAACACAGTTGCAGACCTCCATTATGGTGAGACGACTCTGCCCGGGCTGCGCTTTGATATGGAGAAAGTCACTGTCTCTGAGTCTGGTGTATATGACGTTTTTGAAGCTCTGGATGACCCAACGAATCCTGCCAATTCTTCTAGCGTGATCCCCATTGAAAAAGCAGAAGGTCACTTTCTCTTAGTGGTAGGGGAAGATGATCGGATGTGGAAGAGCTCCTTATATGCTGAGCTGGCAATCAGGCGTCTACGCCAGCATGGGAAAGACAACTTTGAACTCCTGAGTTATCCAGGAGCAGGTCACCGAATTGATCCTCCTTCAACTCCATTTTGTCAGGTAGCTATGGATCGTGTTTTGGGGGTGCCTGTTCTGGGGGGTGGAGAGAGCAAAGCACATGCCCACGCACAGGAACACTCCTGGAGAAGGATTCAGGAGTTTCTGCACTTGCATTTGGGATGAACACTTAAACACATGCAAGCAGTTGCAGATCTGCAAGGACTGAACTTGAGCCACCAAAATGACTGGTGAATTGAAGGGATTGACTGAGACAAGCCTTGAAATATGAAAATAACCAAATGACTACTTAGTTACAAGTATAAATCTAAAAAGAAAGGAATTTCTTTGGAGCACTCTAAGTTAATTTAACTAGGTAAACAGAGGAGATGTGAAACAACAAGCAGGTTGCATTATGGTACAAATTTGACAGCTCAACGTGGTCAAGATATGAAGAAACAAGTACCTGAAGAGAGTAGTAGGTACTTCCTTGCAGTATTTACACCTCACAGAATGTTAACAGGCAGCCTGCACCCTCAGCAGTGACAGAGAGGATCACATTCGGCAATGACGGATGATAAACGTAGACATCCAAATGATGACTCTGACTTTGAGTCCTAAGCTACCTTACCCCAGAATTCTCATATTTACAGCCATATACACTTCAGATATGCTTTCCATTTACATGAAGAACAAGAAGCCTACTAGAAATTTGAAGCTACTTCAAATGAGGCTCATATACTTAGCATTGTGGTCTTCAGGTGACAGTCTGTTTCTTTCCAAAAAGAACTATGTGCTGAATGGAAAAATGAAGAGTACTTTTCCTTGTCATCCAAGAAGAATGGCAATACTAGCACTGTCTTGTATTTGGGATGTACATGTCTGTTCCTGTAATGTCTTGGATTGCTGTTTGACACTCAGGGTACTAAGATTCTGTTGGATAGGTTAGAGCATGTCTAAATACAGCCATTAAGTTAGGGATTAATTACTTGTAGAACTCTTTAGTAGTGATGTCAACAGATGCTGATAGCTGTTCTTAGGGGAGAAGCAGAGTTGGGAGGCAGAAAACCTAGCCTGTAGATTTAAACTGACTGTAAAAAGCTTTCACCTTATGGTGGTGATTAATTCAGAATCATACCAAACCAACAGTGCCCTCCAAAAAAAGCACCCAAGGCCAAATCTATGATAGCTTTTCCATGACTGCCCAAGATTATTTTTTTTTTATTACAAAATCATTTTTGGCTAGTGCCTTTTTTTCCCCTCACCATTCAGGTAGAAAGAATTTTCTTCCCAAATGAGTTGATCTCTCAAGAGTGTCTTGCTGAAATAGTGCCAGTGCTGAAGGCCTGTTGAAGGAGCGCCTCTATCAACAAAATTTCTCCTTCCAAAGTAATTTTTGTCAGACCAGTTTGAGAGCTGCCTAGGAAGATAAAAATCTTTCATTAGTGTACTCAGTTTTGCTTTGCTCTCAGGGATCTCTCTCCAGTTAACTGTCATTATGCTGCTGCTCAGATTCAATACCTTTCTGCAACTCTTATTATTCCTTATCATTTGAGTAAAGTCACGTGTTTTTCACACACAATCAATGCCAACTGAACAATTTATTCATCCACGCTTTACAAGAGAAGCTCCATTCTGCAAACTCCACAAAAGATCTCTTCATGCCTGGTCTCTAAACTCCCTCACCACCTGAACAGGCTTTTGTCAAGTCCTGTCTGGGGCCTGAACCTCTGCTAACACAAGCAGCTCCAGAAGTCCAGGACCAGAGCCTGCTGCAATGTGCTCCCTAGTGTCACCCATACCTGTCAGACTGCCTCACTGACCAAACTCATTTCAAGTAGCAACTGTAGGAGAAAGGGTTGTCTGTTGTCTGAAGGTTCCTGCTTCATCCTGTCTCTTCAGTTGCTGGAGCTGTTATCAATTGTGCAAGAGCAGCACCTCCCCTGTTCCTGTTCTGTCACTCTCCCAGTGCCAATATCTGTGTCTCCACATTGCAGTCCTACCTCAGCATATGCACTGCAATGCAAGATTGCAATCTGGAGGTTCAGGAAGTAAATGTTAAATTGTAAATTAAAAAAAAACCAAAACAACAAAACAGGTAGATTAAGAGGTCTCAGACTTAATTTCTAAAGCACAAGCTTTTAAAATAATTCAGTGTTAGATTTTGTCAGATACATGCAATTTGAAAGAGAAATAAAACACTTCCTTTATTAAAAAGCAACCATGTGTAAGAATTTGATGTTAAGTATTTGTTTGGAAAAGTGAACGATACCTTGTTTTAAATTGAGGGAAAATTAAAAACAATGTAATTTTACTGCAAAGAGTTTTTTTGTCAATCAGAGTTTCCTGGACAAAATAATAGAAGGACCTGTTGAAAACCATGCATTTTGTATATTTACAATGCTACCTGGGGACCCAAGAGGCATTGCAGACACTCTGCAGAATGTGTAGCTATTTCCTGAAGTGTGTACTAAACTGAGTGCCTGATTATGGCCTTAGTTACAGCCACGGTATTTATATTGGTTTATATTTGTTAGGGTTTGAAGAGACCTCTGGGGACCACCTAGTCCAATTTTCCTGCTAAGGCAGGGTCATCTAGAACAAGTTACACAGGAATGTGTCCAGGTGGATTTGGACTGTCTCCAGAGGGAGACTCCATTGCCTCCTTGGGCAGCCTGTTCCAGGGCTCTCCTGGAACAGTGTAAAGAGGTTCTTCTTCACCTTGAGGTGGAACTTCTCGTGTTTCAGCTTAAGGCCGTTTCACCTCGTCCTGTCACTGGGCAGGACAACGAGATGTGATCTTCTGAACCCTTGAGTCTGGCACCGTCCTCTTGGCACCCACCTTTGAGAAATTTCTATCTATTGGTGAGCTCTCCTCTGCTGTGGACGAAACAGGCCAAGGTCCCGCAGTCTCTCGTCACCAGAGAGAGACCCCAGACCCCTCATGCATCATCTTTGTGGCTCCCCACTGGCCCCTCTCCAGTAGCTGCCCTTGTACTCAGGAGCCCGGAACCCGCCACAGTAATTCTTTGCCAGGCCAAACGCCCATCCCATTCCATTAAGACGAGTGCTCGGGGGGCTGGATGAGCTGCACCGGCCACAGCTGGGGGCGCTCGCAGCTGCCCGGGGACTCCCCAGCGCCGCGGCCGGGACGCGAGCCCCGTGCCAGGCCAGGCCCCGACCAGCGCCGCCCGTCCCACAAGGCGCCGCGGGCCGCTACGCGAGTTCCGGGCGGGGCGTTCCCCGCGCCCGTAGCAACCGTAGCGTTCGCGGTATCCACGGCACCATGGTGAGTCCTGCGGCCGGGGCGGCGACGGGGCCCGGCGGCGGGGGTCGGAGCGGCCCCCGGGCCGGCCGTGGTGGCGCGGAGCCCTCTGGGGCCGGGTCCTGCCGAGCAGCCCGGGCTCGGCGAGAGCCGTCCGGGAGGCAGCGCGGGGCTCGGGGCGGCGGCTGAGGCGGGGGCCGGTGGCCTGCTGCTGCGCCTTTGGAAAGGGGGATTTCGGGGAGAAGCGAGGAAAGAGGGGAGTCACGAACTCTCAGACCTCCGCTAGTACGTGGTTTTAAGGCGGCGGTGTCGGTGATCACTGCAGCGATTAGCTTGGTATCTGTTGCTGTGCAATTCCGATTTCGTCTATTTTAAATACAAATAAATGTCTGCAAATAAAGGCGAAATGTTGCTGTTTTGCTTTTTCCTGGGGGTCTAAATTTTGTAGATACTATGTGTCCAACTGCTGTGGTTTTTGGGGGGGGAATACATCTTTTGTTACAACTATTACTAGTACAGGTGTGGTTATTTTTCCCCTTCAGAGATTCTGTTTCTTATTTCTGCCATGTTGATGGTGACTCTTCAGGGATTCCCACTGATCACTTGGCATTTTGAATATTTTAAAATAAAGTATTATGACTTTCTTTAGTCTAAATACCTGTAGAAAATTGTTCAATAAGCAGGTAGAAGAACCCTGCAGATAAGCTTCTTGGAGGAAGTTTCCCTTGAGTAACCTCCTGTGGCAGAAGATACTCTGATTTACCTACAGAAATTTCAAGTGCATCTCAAAGAAAATGAAATCCCTGATATGTGCTCTCCAGAGAGAGAGAGATAACCTGCTGTGCTGATTTCCATGTTTTCATCAAATCAACAGAGATAAGTGCACAGAGGTCAGGGAAGAAGCTGCTCCTTGTGCTCACATGGATCAGTAGCTTTAAAGTCCAAACTGTTTTTAGGCATGTCTTCAAAACAGCAGCAGCCACTGATCTTATAAATGCATTTCTGTCTTTAACATGAGTGACTGAGATTATGTACCCAATTGCTGTGGTGACTGGCTGCCATAATTATGAAAAAGGCAATGAAGTTTCTGCCCAAAAATCCCCAATTGACTGGAAGCCAGCTGTTTTTGCCTCCACACTGGTAGCTGTTCATTGGCTTGAATGAGGCTGTTGTAGTGGGAGCTTAGGGATGTGATCTTCTGAACCAGAGGAGGTCATGCAGATGTGTATCTCTGGCAGACACTGGGGAGCTACTGCTGAGGCTCAAGTTTGCAGGTCATCTCCAACAGAACTAAGAGCTAGCTATCACTTGGTATGGACCAGATTGAAATGAGTGCCTGCCAGGGGGCATAAAGAGCTGGAACATCTGAGGATGTCTAAATGGAGATGCATGTTGATGTTTGAGATGCATGCTTGGGCTCCCTAGTGTTGCTGGCTCTTAGGCTGTTGCTGGGTGTTCGGGGGCTGTGGCCTTTTCTTATATAAAGCTGCCTCAGCTGTTGCCTTTTATTGCTGGGACCAGAGTTTCCTGTGGTCCGGAGTAAAGTACCCAATACTAAAGCTCTGTGACTGAGGTGGCTGCCTGTAAGATTTTTGGAGGAAGTTAGTTTGTTTTTTTAACTTCTACAGTAAGGGGGGGTTATGTATCTGATTACCTGAAAGGCTGCTTTTATCCACGCCCTGCTACACTTAGGAGCAACAGAGATGCCAAAACTAGAGTCTTCCTGTGTTTGTAAAAAGAAGGCTGTTGATCACTGTTTGTAAAAGATTGATCTCTGAAACCTTTTTAATCCAAGACATCTTGGATTATGTTTAATGTTTGGAGAAGCATTAGGCATGTTGTTTATATACTACTGTTTTGGATATCTTTATGTGGTTTCACTAAGACTCTGATGTGAGGTGGAAAAGTAAGAGTTAGTGATAACAGAAAGTTGGTCAGTGGGTCAGTCCTTAAAAAGCAGCTCTCAGGTTTTTCCAAACTGAATAATAACACCACATACATGTTTTCACCTCACATGGTGTAACTCAATGTGAAACCACTGGAAAGAAACCCCAAATATATATAATCCAGATTGCTCTTGAGTTTTGGCAAGCTGTACCTTATTTTCTTCAGTGAATTTTAGGAGGCTGTATAATTTTCTGGTCACAGACTTGCTTTCAGGCAGTAAGCTGCTAATGCACAGTAGGAAGTGTGAGGGTTTAACAGCATTAGACCACAATTTTCATTGCAGTAACTTCTTATGCCTTAAAGCTGAATTTCACCATAAAAGCTAATAAGCAGTGTCCCCATGGGACAGAGAGTAAGATCAGGAAGATAATGTCCTGACATTAGGCTCATTGTTTGCTTCTGAAAATGCAGCAAAATACAGGACACTGGGGGGTTCCAACTTCTTTGACTTGGCTGACCCAAGATAATACAGGAAAGTGGTGGAAGGGGGGCAAACAAGCAGGATAGGGAGAGGGAAGGAAAGGAAAGATTTGCAGTGAACAAGCCACTTAAAAAATTCAATGAATATTCACTTAAGTTTGTTTCACTTTTAGGCAAAAGCAACGACCATCAAAGAAGCTCTAGCCAAATGGGTAAGAACTAGAACAGTGTCTAGCGGCGTGAGGTTTGACTGTATTCAGCTAATTTTGTTTGTCAAACATTGTAAGAAATATGTTTGCATGAAACATTGGCTCTAAGAAGTTTCACAAAGTAAAATGATGGTTACTGTTGTTGTTGTTGTTGTATAGTACATTCTGTTGGACTTTCTGTATGTTCCTGTTAAATTGATATAACTGGTAAAGATTAGTCTGTTTTGCCCTCCTGCCTTGTTCTGCTGGATATGCATGGGCCTGAAGTCACAAAAGAGATCTAAAGTTGGGGATGTATTATGTTTTAATTATGCTCTGTTTACTTTATCCAATTGCAGTCTTTCCCACGGAATAAACAAGTATGAAATTCTCACTGTATACTGAATTCAGTGAATTTCTACATATCTTTTGACATATAGTCCCTCATATTGTGCAAAGCTTAACTCAGAATGAGTTTCTTTGGTTTTTTTTCTTCTTAAATACTCTATTCATACAGAAGCTCATTTGGTTGTGGCTGACCTGGTCTTCCAAAAAGTTATGTGTTGGCAAGGATGGGGATGTAATGCCAAATGATGATGTGGGATGCTCAAGGGTCAGGTTCGCTGTCCAGTGAAACCAGTGAGAATCTTTCCCCAGTCTCTGAATTTTAGATGAAGGCACAGATGTGCTGTTTGTTGTACATATGCTTTCCTGCTAATTCTGGCCAGCTGCTAGAGCAATGATTTATAAATGTTTTGGCCTCTGGAAGATCTGGATGTGATAGCGTGATGTCATGGTTTCACGCCGGCACAATGCTAGTGCTCCCATGAAAATACACTCTCTCTGGTTTCTGCTGTGAGATGTGACCAGGAATAAGCAAAGCGGGCTCCTACTTAGAAATAAAGAAAACTTGATTAACTACACTACAACTATATGTAAAAAGGAACACACAGGAAAAATGAAAACCTTACAAATACATTTCCTCCTCCCCCCACCAAATTTCCAGTACATCCATCCCCTAAATCACTGACTCTCGGTCCATCACCACCCTGTAAATAATCAATTCTCAATTAATCAAGAGGAGAGGAGGCTTTCTTGTGCCATAGGCTTTCCCTGGAAAAACCGTTGAAACCTCGTGTGTTTCTATGTCACTCATGGCACCGCCCAGAGAACATCTGCTGCCCTGACCTCTTCTTTCTGTGTCCAGTACTCTCACTACTGCACATGGACCAGAGCTGCTTCTAGGGTTGTCTTTTTAAGGATGCTTTGTCCTGTACTAAAAAAGGGCACAGTCTCACTTTTGGGACGCCTGTCCCCCCAAATTTCACCCCCTGGGGCTGAGGGGTACTAAAACTGAACCCTCTTGGTTCTGAGCCATCACCTTCCCCTGGATGCAGTCTCTGTGTCCCAAGGAACATGGTTCTGTCTATGGCTAGAACAATAAGAGTCTAGCTAAGCTACTCTATCATCTCTTCCTACCTAAGATTCTTCTCCACTCTTCCAACATCTCTCACTTGCTCAGACCTTCATCACACTTGCCTATTTCTTCCTTCATCTTCTACTCTGTCTCTCTTCTAGGAAAGGTTAATGTTCTGTAAAGTTTTCATTGTCTAAAAAGAGGTTAAGACTTGGGCTCTGCCCGCCTGGAGACTCCCACAAGCGGCCGGACACCTTCTCGCTGCAGCTTCCTCCTTCTCCGCAGGCTGGGCTGTGCTGCCAGCACATTATATCAAATTTCAAAGTAACAGTCTCAGGAACAGGCTCTCTTCCCCTCTCTCTCTGTCTCCTAGGGTGTGGGCTGCCCGATGCCTCCCGGTGCTTCTCTCTCTTCCACCCTTCCACCCTCGGGGCCAGGCCAACCTCTCCCGGCCGCATGGCTGCCCCTCCCCTGCCCGGCAGCAGACAGCTGGGCAGAGGAGGTCCGACCTGCTTCCCTCTCGGAATTCAAAAAGACTTCTCCCGCCAGTGTTCTGCTTTTTAACCCCTGTGTTCTCAGAGGCGTATCCAATGTCTTCAGTGGCCAAACCGGGTGCCAATATTCAAATCTGAGCACTTATTGGTGTGACCACAGCATCTCAGAAAACTTACTTCCTCTCAAACCACAACACATGGGTAGGTACACTTGAAAGCCAGAAGCTCAAATTACTAGCCTGTAACTGAAGATTACTTCCATTTTGAGTTTTATCATTGTTTAGTACCTTCAGTATTTTTTCAGGGGAAACCCCTTCAGGGGTTTTCCAGTTACGTTGGTATATCCCACAAACTTCACTGCTGCTCTCCTAGTAAGAACTAGAATGCAACAACTTACAGACGTAAGCATTAGTAGAGGTATA